TGCTTTGTTTGCCGTCAAATTGGGCATTTTCCAGCAATTTGCAGCTGTAAATGGATTTCTTTTCTAATTTTTAACGAGTGACTCTGATTTTTACTTGATGGCACTCAAAACAACGTTTTAGCCTGTTTTTTGGCTAAGTTACGCTGTTTTAAGCATCATCTTTCTAAGAACAACCTTTACCACTTTTTCCTACATGAAATACGTGTTTGACGCTCTAACTTATCAAAAACACCTTTTGGTTTCTTTGCAGCGAATTTGAGCTGGTTTGAGCTTTGTGTCACAAAAGCGCGCGTTTTTCCTTTTCTGTGTTTAAAATAAGCTGCTTTAAGCTTTATTGTAGCAAAAACATGTTTTAGTTCCTGTGCCGTAGAATTGTGCTATTTCCAATGATATTGCATGGGGAAATGGTTTCCTGCTAGCTTGTAGTGAGTGACGTAGATTTTTACTTGATTTTATTGATTTATTTACTGCTTGTCTTCTGCTAAGTTACACTGTTTTCTCGGTTTTGTAACTAAACTATACTTTTGACACTCTATCTTACCGAAAACATGTTGTGGTTTGTTCGCAACGAAATTGGGCTGCTTTGAAATTAAGATCACAAAAAACAACCTTTTTCCTTTTCGTTGCTAAAATACGTTTTATTCAGCTTTATAGCACAAAATACATGTTTTTTTTTTGTTTGCCGTAAAATTTAAATTCAGGCTTATTGAAAAGAAAAAACTTTTGAGCAAAAACGCTTTTTTTTGTGATATAAAACTCAAAGCAGCGCCATTTTGTTGCCAACATGCAAAAAACGTATTTTCGCTACCATGAGACTCAAAAAAGGGTATTCCGTAACAAAAACAAATCGCTGTTTTTTTGTAATAAAATGCTCGAAACATCAGATCTCATTGCCAACACGGCAAAACATGTTTTCGATAAGATAAAGGGTCAAAAGAACAGTTTACGTAGGAAGACAAGAAAAAGCCTGTTCTCAGAAACATAATGCTGAAAACAACGTAACTTAGCCGAAGACAAACGAAAACGTTCTTTTGAGCAAAATGAGATAAAAACCAGCATGACTCGCTGAAAACTGGCAGAAAACCTTTTCCCGGTGCAATTACGCCGGGAAGAGCCCAATTTTACGGCAAACAAACCCAAACATGTTTCTCCTCAAATAAAGCTAAACGCAGCGTATTTTAAACACAGAAAGGCAAAAACGCTTGTTTTTGTGATATACGGCTCAAAGATAATCTAATTTAGTTGCCAACAAACCAAAACATTTTTCCAGTAATATAGAGCATCAAAAGTGCAGTTTGGTTACGAAAACAGAGGTAAAGGTTGTTCTCAGGAAGAGGATTCCAAAACAGCGTTACCTAGCCAGACACAAGTAAAAACGTTGTTTTCAGTAAAATGAAGTAAAAAGCCAGGGTGAGTCGCTGCAAACTGGAAGAAAACCTTTTCCAGGTGCAATAACGCTGGCAACGACACAATTATACGGCAAACAAACCAAAATATTGTTTTTTATGCTATATAGCTGATTCCAACGTGTTTTAGCAACAAAAATTAAGAACGCTTTTTTTTTGTGATATATAGCTCAAGGAAGCCCAGTGTTGTTGTAAACAAAGCAAAATATATTGTGGGTGCTATGAAGCTTGAACACGTGAAAAGGAGAAACTCAAAAATAGCGGCACAAGTAAAGCTGATTTCACCTCCGTCATCGAAGGCCTACGCCTATTTGAGGTAACTCCAACAAACCCTTTTTATACAGGTCATGGTTTTCGGCTTTAAGCGTCCAGAAACTTTGCTGACAAGGTAAAACAGGGAATACACATTGCTTTCAACTGACGATTTCCCTGTTCAAACTAGCTCAAACTAGCCCCAACTCCCTGCAAACGCACCAAAACATATTTTCGATAAGTGATAGCGTCAAAAACGTATTTCATGTAGGGAAATGTGGCAAAGGATGTTCTAAGAAAGCTAATACTGAAGCCAGTGTAACTTAGCCAAAAACAGGCTAAAACGTTTTTTTGAGGGCAATCAAATAAAAATTAAGGTCACTCCCTAAAAACTGGAAAAAGAAATCCATTTACCGGTTCAATAACGCTGGAAAGAGTGCAGTTTGAAGCCAAACAAACCAAAACAAATTTTTTGTGCTATAAAGTTGAGTGGAACGTCTTTTAGCAACGAAAATGCAAAGATGCTGTTTTTTCCGTTGTGAACTAACCAAAACATATTTTCCGTCTGAATGAAACTTAAAACAGCGTGTTTTCTCGCAAAAAACCTAAATTGCTGCTTTTGGTGACATAAAGCTCCAAGCTTCTAATTAAGTTGCAACCAAACCGAAAGATGGTTTGGGTAAGATAAAAGGTCAAAAGCGCAGTTTTGGAAGGAAAGAAAGGAAAAGCCTCTTCTCAGAAACATATTGTTGAAAACAGCGTAACCTAGCTGGAAAGAGACGAAAACGTTTTGTTGAGTAAAATCAAGTAAAAATCAGCGTGACTCGCTGCAAACTGGGAGAAAACCTTTTTCCGTTGCAATAACGCTGGGAAGAGCCCACTGTTACGGCAAAGAAACCAAACATGTTCTTCCTGCAATAAAGCTAAACGCAACGTATTTTAAACACAGCAAGGAAAAAACGCTGTTTTTTGTGACATAAGGCTCAAGGTAGCCTAGTTTAGTTGCCAACAAACCAAAACATTTTTCCGGTAATATAGAGCGTCAAATGTGTAGTTTGCTTACGAAAGAAGAGGAAAAGGTTGTTCTCAGAAGGAGGATTCTGGAACAGCGTAACTTAGCCAAACACAAGTAAAAACGTTGTTTGAGTAAAAGCAAGGAAAAATTGGGCGGACTCGGTGCAAACCGAAAGAAAACCTTTTTCCGATGCAATATCACTGCAAAACGCACAACTTTACGGCAAACAGACCAAAACATTTTTTTTTCTGCTATAAAGCTGAGTGCAACGTGTTTTAGCCAAGAAAAAGCAAAAACACTGCTTTTTCCGATGTAAAGCTCAAAGAAGCTCAATTTCGTTGATAACTACCCAAAAGATATTTTCAGTGCTATAAAGCTCATGCAGCGTGTTTTCCAACGAAAAACTAAATGGCTGCTTTTTGTGACATAAAGCTCGAAGCTTGCAATTTAGCTGCAACTAAACCAAAACATGTTTTCGGTAAGATAAAGCGTCAAAAGTGTAGTTTAATAACAAAACCGAGAAAATGGTTGCTCTCGGAATGAAACAGGCTAAAATGTTGTTCTGAGTGCCCTCAAGTAAAAATTAGTGTCACTCGCAAAAAACTGGAAAAGAAATCCATTTACCAGTGCAATAACGCTGGAAAAGCCCAATTTGACGGTAACCAAAGCGAAAACATGTTTTTGGTGCAATAAAGCTGAAAACAGCGTATTTTGGCAATTAAAAAGGGAAAACGCTATTGAGGCTGTTCTCACAAACATGATGCTGAAAACAGCGTAACCTAGCCAAAAACTAGCAAACCGTTGTCACTTAGCCAATGACAAGAAAAAACGTTGTTTTGAGTAAAATCAAGAGAAAAGCAGGGTGACTCGCTGCAAACTGGAGGAAAACCTTTTTCCCGTGCAATAACGCTGGAAACGACACAACTTTACGGCGAACAGACCGTTGTGTGAGTGCAACGTGTTTTAGCAAACAAAAAGCAAAATCGCTGTTTTTTGCGATATAAAGCTCAAAGAACCCAATTTTGGTGCCAACTAACCAAAACATATTTTTGGTGTTATGAAGCTTGAAGCAGCGTACTTTCCCGGGGAAAAACTAAATCGCTGCTTTTTCTGAGATAAAGTTCGAAACTTCCAATTTCGTTGCCAACAAACCGAAACATGTTTTCCGATTGTTTTTGATAAAGGGTCAAGTAAAATCAAAGTTACTCGCTGCAAACTGGCAGACAACCCTTTTCTGGTGCAATAACACTGCAAACAAACAGCCCAATTTTACCACAAACAAATCAAAACGTGTTTCTCCTACAATAAAGCTACACGCAGTGTATTTTAAACACAGAAACGGAAAAACGCTTTTTTTTTTTTTTGTAACATAGGGCTCAAAACAACTTAATTTAGTTGCCAACAACCAAAACATTCTTTTGGTAATATAGAGCGTCAAAAGTGTAGTTTGGTAACGAACAAAGAGGAAAACGTTCTGCTCAGAAAGATGATGCTGAAAACAGCAGAACCTAGCCAAAAACAAGCAAAAACATTGTTTTAAGTAAAATCAATTCAAAATCAGCGTCACTCGCTGCAGCCTTGCAAAACATCTTTTCCCGTTGCAATAACGCTGGAAACAGGGCAATTTTACAGAAAACAAGCGAACACATGTTTGTGGTGCAATGAAGCTTAAAGCAGCGTATTTTAGCATTTAAAAAGGGAAATCGCTACTTTGCCGTAGGATAAGGCTTAAAGCAGTTTAATTTAGTTGCCAAAAGACCAAAACATGTCTTTGGTGCGATAAACCGTGAAAAACCGTAGTCTTGTTACAAAAGAGTCCAGAGCGTTGTTCGCAGAAAGATAATGCTGAAGACAGTGGTAAGAGGCAAAAACGTTTCTTAGATGCAGTTACGCTGGAAACATGTTTTTGGTGCGATAAAGCTGAAAGCATTGTATTTTAGAAACCAAAAAGCGAAAACGCTTTTTGTGAGCTTTAACTCACAATCGCCCGGTTTAATTGCAAACAAATAAAAATATGTTTTCCATTCGATAATGCTCAAAACAGCGTAAGTGGGGAATTCCACTCAGATGCTGCGAGGCTAAACCAGTAATTGCTTAGGGTTCTGGTTAGGGTTAGGATTTGGGTCAGGGTTAGGGTTAGGGTTTGGTTTGGTTAGGTTTGGCTAACCCTCCATGTTTGTAGAATCTTTTTATGTGCAGATATACAGCTAGAACCGGGGACTGAACAACAGATAAGAACTAGAACAGACGGAGGTTACGAACAGAATTCCGGAAGCCCTAGAATCCTGGAGGGGTGAAAAGAAGTACAGGGGACTTCTAAGATAAGTATGGCTCGTTCCCTAGTAGAACCAGAGGCAGGACAGACTCTTGTTCGAGTGGCCAGCTTCTCCGACAAAGTTCTCACCTTACGATCACCTCTCCCTGTTGCTGAATACCATTCTGTCAGCGGTGTAAGTGGCAGTGCTACTCCTACCGAAATTGGTGGTAGTCCATCAGCACCTAACCATCCATGCTGCTTAGTTATAGACAGAAATATTGAGGATGATAAGCAGGAAAGTACAGAAAGAGAGAATAGAAGGGCAAAAGTTATCCAGCCAAGTTCAGATGGGCTTTCAGAGGAGCAGAAAAGGCAATTTTCTCTACTGATAGACCAATATGAGGGCATATTTCCAATTAACAATTCTGATTTAGGATAATTAGATCTTATGGAACACGACATTAACACTGGTGTGAGGAGGGAGATCATAGATCAACAGGTGGACGAGCCGCTGGCGAATGGTAGAATTGAAGAGTCGCAGAGCCCCTGGAGCAGTCCGGCAAACTGAATTTGTGTACATCGAAAGATGCAATATCGTTAGGGAGGACCGATGAAGTCTTGGAAGCGCTGGGTGGTGGCCAATGGTTTTCCTGTCTGGATTTGGCGTTTGGGTATCGGCAGATGGAAGTAAAAGAAGAGGACAGACCCAAAACAGCATTCTCGACCCATGGTGGACAATTCCACTGGAGGGTTATGCCTTTTGGACTCACGAATGGGCCGGCTAGTTTTACCAGATTGATGAATCTAGCACTCAGTGAACTGACTTCGACACACTGTCTTGGGTATTTGGATGATATTATTATCTGGGCCCCTTTCCTCGAGGAACATCTGCATCGCATACGGTTATTATTTCACAGGATACGAACTGCTGCTCTTAAGCTGAAGCCAACTTTTTGTCGGTTTCTAAAGACAGAAGTTTCGTTCGCAGGGCATGTTGTCTCTTCAGATGGCATCAAAACTGACCCTGACAAGGTCGAGACTGTCAGAACTTGTCCAACCCCAGTAGACATCAAAGAGCTCCAAAGCTTCATTGGTCTTGCCATTACTATAGGCGGTTTATTTCTGGATTCTCGATCGTCACAGAACCACTCTACGAATTGTCGAGGAAGGGTGTATCTTTCCAGTGGCAGATGGAACAAGAAAGTGCCTTCAATGAACTCAAACATCGTTTGACCATTGCACCCGTCTCGGCATATCCCGATTTTAGTCCTGATGCAGGATTATTCGTACTTGACACAGATGCCAGCCAACCCCTGGGCATTGGCGCTGTTTTATCTCGATTGCAACTCAATGCCACTGAGCGTGTGATAGCTTACGGGAGTCTTTCTTTGAATGAGCAGGAGAACTATTGCGGCACTCGATTAGAGATGCTAGCTCTGGTAAACTATATGGACCATTTTTGCTATTACTAGGTGGGACAAAAATTGCGCCTGAGGACTGATAATCACTCATTAGTCTGGCCAATGTCTTTTAAAGAGCCTCAAGGGCAAGTGGCCCTTTGGCTAGGGCGCTTACAGTATGATTCTGAGATACAACGTCTCCCGGGGAGGTTACACAACAATGCAGACGCCTTCTCTAGAAGGCCCAGACGACAACATGGGAATTGTCCATCGTGTACTCCAACAGGATTATCCCAAGTTACAGTTGTTACTAGAGACCTTCCGGTCGGTGAAACCCCAAGTGAAGTGAGAAATTGTTGGTACCCAGAAGTGGTTCCACAGGCTTAAAGAGATGATCCAGATATCAGCGTGGTACTTTGTCGTTTGTTGAAAGAGTGGAGGAAACCAGCTGTTGAGGAACTTCACGTCAATGTGCTATGCTGCTCGTGATGTCTGGGCCCAGTTTGAACTGTTGTTGCTACAACAGCGGGTTCTCTATATTAAGGCAGCTACCCACACTACCCAAGCTAAACTGAGGATGGTTGTACCGAAACAGTTAGTGGAGCAGGCCCTTGTCGAAGTTCACGATGGCGTTGCTGGCGCCCACCTTGGAGGAATGAGCAGTCTAATGAAGATAAAAGCTAGATTCCGGAGGCCTGGCACGACCAAAGAGGTGCATTGTTACTGCGATCGATGTCTGACATGTGCTAACTGTAAGCCAAGGGCAAAACCAATCTATCTTAATTGGTTCACCTGGTTGAAATGGTCAAACTAGTTTTAGTTGCTCAACTGCATAAACCGCAAGATTTAACGGAAGTTTTTCATGACAAATCAGCTTAATTGCTTCGACTATTGCAATAGTCAAAGTAGCGGAAACGGTTAAACTGCACAAATTGCACTCTCTATCTCGACTAGCTGAAGTAGATGAAATGCTCGAACTAACTTAAATGCTTCAACTGCACGATATGCACACTTAGTTTAAGAGTTTGAACTGCAGAAACGGCACAATCTCGGTTAAATAGTCCAACTAGGGAAGACTGGAAAAAAAACAGCAACGAGTTAGAACTGTAAAAGTTAGAAATGCAAGGAAGGCTGAAGAGAGAAGAAAAGGAAAGACAAGGAAGGATGGAAGAAAAGGACAAACAAGAAAGGATGGAAGAGAAGGACAGACAAGAAAGGATGGAAGAAAAGGACAGACAGGAAAGGTGAAATTTGATATCACCGAGTATCTTAAGTTGGTATTTCCATTTCAGCAAGCAGATGCTGATAAGAGTTTCTTGCACTTTGAGAAAGTAGCTGGTAATCTTAAGTGGCCCACGGATTACCGGGTAATTCAATTACAGAGTGTACTAGTCGGTAAAGCAAGAAACATTTAAACACAGTTAAGTATAGAGGAAGCTGCAAGTTATGACACTGCTAAAGATATTATTTTAAAGGGTTCTGAAATAGTTGCCGAGGCTCTGAGAGCATCAGAAAGTCGATAGTCAGACTTATGTAGAATTTGCTAGAAGTAAGGAACAGTTATTTGATCGTTGGTGCCATTCGCAGAGGGTAGATGAGAGTCACGATAGGTTAATGACAGCTAGTTTAAATAGAGGAGTCTAAGAGGTGCATTCACAGTGATGTCTGAACGTTCGTCGATGAGCAAAAAGCACAAACATTAGAGAAAGGTGCACGACTAGCAAATGAGCTTTGGTTGAGGCACAAAGTGAACTTCATGGAAATACCCCATCAGCTTCAAACTTCACCCGCTAGAGTTCTGCCTCCTTCGGTACCACGATGGTGTGCAAAACCAGAGAAGTCGGAAGAATGACGGAGGACATCCAAAGCAGAATCCTGCTAACAATTATGGGAATCCTTTCAGCTCCTCATAGTCAAGACAGAACAAGTTTGATTGAGGTAAGCCCATCAAGCCGCCGACATGTTACTTTTCCAGAAAAGCTGGTCGGCTGATTTCTAGCTACCCGGAAAAGTGGAGAGTGGCGCCTAAGCTGATGGTTTTCTCGCTAAGACATTGTCTTTAACTGCTGTTGGTGAAGATACACTCCCCTCCGTAAGTTCTAAGAGAGAAGACTCAAGCAAGTGCTGTGAGTGAAGTCAGTGGCCCCCTGTCATGGATCTTTTTCAGCCCTTCACCCACGATGGTTCGGTGTCATTGTCAACTGATACGTCCAACTCCATACCAAGCAAGATCTTGACAGGCACTGGAGCCTCACAGTCTCTATTGCTGAGTGACACTTTGGTGTTTTCTGAGAAGTTGTCCACTTGTGCGAGTGTTCTAATAAGAGGAATCAGTTCCAAGTATACCCCGGTGCCACCGTATACAGTATACGCCAGTATACATTAGTAGTTGTCAATGCTATTGTCACCGAGAAGCGTGGTTAAGAAAAATCTCCAGAGCCAGTAGAAAGGAGAATTCTCCTTCTGTACCCATAATGTGTCGTGACGCGAGCCATAAGTAAGAGGTTAGAAACCAGAGACAAAAGAGGTAACATGAGCTGACACTGCCATCAGCCAGGTCCTTACGGGTGAGCAACCGAATCCCTCTTTCTCTCAGCCAGTATAAGTACTTTCTGAGAAAAGTTTAATGGAACAGGTCGAAAAGATGTCAACTTCTCAACTCATTGCAGAACAACACGGAGACCCGGAAGTCTCACCTATATTTTCAAGAAGTGTTAGTGAAAGCGAAGTATCTCAGAACCCCAACTGTTACTTTACGAAGAATGGAGTGCGAATGGAAATGTGAAGACCACCCGATGTTCCCACAGAAGAGGAGTGGGCTGTCCAGTACCAGATGATTGTCCCAAAGACCTAAAGATCGGACGTTTTAAGCACAGCGGATGAGACCCCCTTGCCTGGCCACCTGGGTGTCAACAAAACCTGCCAGAGGTTCTTAGACCATTTCTACCGGCTCAGTCTAAGAAAAGTTGTGGCGCAATACTGCAAGTCGTTTCACACTTGTTAGATGGCTGAGAAACCGAATCAGATCGTTCGAAAAGTACCGTTACAGCCACTACCAGCCCTTCAAGAGCCATCCAGCAGAAGAATCATTGTTCATTGTTTAGAGCCACTACATAAGAAGAGGTCTAGACACCAGTATATGATGACCATCATGTGTGCATCCAGTAGATTCCCTGAAGCCGTGCCCTTGAGAAATATCAGTGCAAAGGTCATAGTCAGAGCTTTAACCAAGCTCTTTACACCGGTAGGTCTCCCGAGTTCTATCCAGTCTGACCAAGGTTCCAATGTTGTGTGGCATATTTCAACACGTCATGCACGAGCTTGGAGTCACACAGTATATGTCAACCGCATGTCACCCTCAAAGTCAAAGAGCTCTCGAAAGATGGCACCAAACACTGAAGAACATGATGAGGACCAACTGTTTCGAAAGAGAGGAAGATCGGGACGAGGGTAGCCATCTACGACTGTCTGCTGCAGCTGAGTCAGTACAGGAGTCCCTAGGATTCAGTCCATTCGAGCTTGTATTTGAGTACACTGTGAGAGGACCTCTTAAACTGCTTAAAAAGAAGTTATTATCTAGCAGCACTGAGTCTACGAATCTCTTGCAGTATGATTCAGATTTTTGCAGTAAGCGTTTTAGAGCTTGTGAGTTAGCTAAAGCTAATCTTAGTTCTTTCGAGATGTCTTTGAAAGAGAAGTATGATGTAGATGCTGTAGAACGTGACTTCAAATCAGGAGAAAAGGGTCTTGCATTGTTGCCAGTGCCTAGAGAAAAACTTAATTGTAGATTTTTTGGTCCTTATGTCACTGAGAAGAAGCTAAATGACCTCAAGAGCTAATGTCAACATGCATCAGACAAACAGCAGCGAGCCCCCCAAAATTTGTTTTCTCTCCTACTCTCATATTTTGTAGCCCAATATGTCCTGATACTTGTGGTGTGATTTTTTTTCTGAAAATATACATTAGTTGTGAGAAATGATTTTTTGCGTTGGACCGCTCAAATATGCAAATTTTTACCCTGAAGATTACCCGAGTTGTGTGACCTCATGTAACGAGTTTGCTAGACCTCCGGTATTTCTGTCAGCATAATCCTTTGTTCTAATCCCCGGTCATTATTGAAGCTGGCAAAGAATTATTTCTTCTTTGGTGAATAATTTTGTCTGACAAACTTTTCTATGTCGAAAAGTAGGATCAAAACAGAGACAGTTTTAACAATGACCGACACGACAGAACCTACTGAGCTTCTACCTTTTAAAAGACGAAAGGCTAACCAACGGGCCACTTGCCCCTGAGGCTCTTTAAAAGACATTAGCCAGACTAATGAGTGATTATCAGTCCTCAGGCGATCTTTTTGTCCCATCAAGTAATAGCGAAAATGGTCCATATAGTTTACCAGAGCTAGCATCTCTAATCGAGTGCCGCAATACT